TGCTGTGGGGGGCAAGAAGACTCGTGTGAAAAGAAAAACAGCTCCGATATGGGAATTCTTTGAAGAAATAGAGGGTGTTGAGCAAGCAAAATGCCTCCTTTGCGCTTCATCCAAGGTCACCACGATCATCAAATGCAAGAGTGGGACTACAAGCGCGATGCTGAAACACGTGGAAGGTTGTCACGTGTCGACGTGGGACAAATCGCCATCGATAAACAAAAAGGCACGGGCCGGATCCTCCCAAGGCGACATCGCAAGGAGCCTTTCGAAAATGTCCCCGTACACGGATGAGGAGAATCGGCGGAGATTGGTTCGCATTTGTGTGAAGGGGACGATGTCGTTTCGCGGGATCGAATGCAAGGAATTGAGGGCATGGGCAAAGCTCCTCAATCCATTGGTCAACATGCCTTCGCGGGTGACCGTCACGAATGACATTCACGCCACGTACGATTCGTACGTGAAGAGGCTCAAGGACCGTTTGGGAGCCGTACCTTCAAAGATGTCATTTACAATCGATATTTGGACGGCTCCTAACCTACAAGCCTTCATGGCTTTGACCGTTCATTGGCTTGCTGAGAAGTTTGAGACCAAACATGTGTTGTTGGATTTCATTCTCATGGAAGGGTCACATACGGGGGAGGCAATCAAGAAGGCATTTGTTGAGTCGGTTTTTGAAAAATGGGGGCTTGGAGAGAAGGTCATGGGTGTGACTCTTGATAACGCTAGCAACAATGAGCGTTTTCTCTCACTTCTCAAAGAAGAGAAGAACATTTCCAAGGATATCCACATGTTATGCTTCGCACATGTGGTTAACCTTGTGGTGGAGGCAATCATGGCCTCACCAAATGTGCATGGTGCTTTGCAAAAGTTGAGGGCGTTTGCTAAGCACATCGGCGCTTCTTGTCAAAGGCATGAGAATTTCGCGGCCAAGTGCAAAGAGAAGGAGTTGGGGAATGTGACAACCATTTCCCACGATACTCCAACTCGATGGTCGAGTGCGCATGCAATGATAAAAAGAGGGTTTGTGGTGAAGGGGGCAATAAATTCATACCTTGTGGAAGAGGGGGAAGAGGTGGAAACCCAATTTCGCATGAGGGATGACGAATGGAAGGCACTTGAGGCACTTGAGATTCTTCTTTCCCCTTTTGCCGAAGCGACAAGGATCTTGGAGGCATCTAGCTATGCCACGGTGTCATTGTGCATCCCCATGATGAACTCTCTTATGGACACCTTGGAGTCCACCATAGAGAAGAAGGGGGAATTTTCGGGGGCATGCAAGGATGGTTTGGAGAAGTTGGAAAAGTACTACAATCGTTCTTCGGAGGAGTACACGATTGCAACCGTGCTAGACCCACGCTTCAATCGTTCGTACTATGCCAAGGGGGCAAAAGATGGTAATGGGCATGTGAGTGAGGATATGATTGGAGCGACCATGGCCAAAGCGTACAAAGAGTATGTGAATGCTTTCGGTGGTGACGAAGGGACGGGAGAGAGCTCTACCATGAGTGCACCATCGAGCGAAATATCCGTTCCCCCATCCACTTTTCTTGGTGGAATTTTTGAAGTGCAAGGGGAAGAGGATCCCGAGAGAGGTGCCAATGAGCTCGAACGTTATCTTCGTGAGGATAGGGTGGTGACGAAGAAAGGTTCGATTTCTTCTTTCAAGGAGTGGTGGGTCCAACATGAGCAAAAATACCCAATTGTGGCGCGCATGGCACGCGATTACTTGGCTATTCCGGGCACATCGGCGGACTCGGAGCGTGCATTTTCGCTAGCAAGGCACATGATGACCGATTTTAGGCATAGGCTAAGTCCGGCAACTATGCGTGCATGCATGTGCCTTAGGTCTTGGTTTGCATGGGAGGATGGAGAGGAGGTAGATGCTTGATTGGGTTGGATGTTTAGATCTTTAATGAGTAGAATGGTAGATGGTAGAATGGTAGAATGGTATATGGTAGATAGGGCATGGTAGATGGTAGAATGGTAGATGGTAGATGGTTGATGGGCATCAAACAACATGCTTTCTAGATGGTAGAAGAGTTGGGGTAGATGAGTAAGACTTAGTAGTGGAAGAGCATAGCATCATGCATGTTTAGTTGTATTTTCCGTGAACCTTGTAGTAGGGATCGTGCATTGATTAATGTTTCGTTGGCATGTGTAATCTAGCTTGTAAGAAAACCAGAAAGGGGCATGTTTACACTTTCATTCTCACACTCATACCATCTCTGTTTTTGTTTAGGGCCAATACCAGCAACCTAGCCACAGTGGATACATGATTCTAAGTTGTGTTCATTGGTGCTGGTATGGGATCTAAACGCCCTTTTCCACAAGCATACACCCACTCTCTGAATTGTAATGTTGTTGTTTAACACTTGTATACACCTAAATTGTATACAATGTTATCCAACCAGAAAAGGCCTTACACAATTATCCGTACTTTTTACTGCGCGCACCAGACAGGTATTGAACTTCGGGCTATCATATGACAGCCAAACCACAGACGTTTGAGCTATGTGAACTGTTGGTCCTTGACCGTACATTGTACATATTAAGATTAATCACGACACCAGAGAATTTGTCATAAACCAGAAGTTACAATCAATTTTGAAAGCAGTGGAAGGAGCTAGTAAAACAGCAGTTTCTGTAGTACACGAAACAATCTGTTGTGACATTGTTTACTAATTGTAACAAACCAAACATACATGACCTAAATACGCAGGACGGGTCTTCCTATGATTCTCCTGCAGCACATAACAACAAACAGACGGATGATGAAGGGGCAGTGCCCGTGGAGAGTGCAAACCGCAACGGAGTTAAGGAGCAAACGACGGGTAGGGGGGAGAGATAAACCCTGTACTCATAGTGCGCATAAGTTGGGTATTCGTATTCGTATTAGTTCACAAACATCATCGTACTCGTTTGGGTATTCGGACAAATCCGACTACTCGTATTCGTATTCGTATTCGAATGGAAGTCGACTATTTGAACCGTATTCGTATTCGTTTCAAGCTATCTATTCGGCCAAATACGAAAATGCTTACTATTCGGTAACTATTCGTGTAAGAAACCGTATTCGTAATCGTATTCGTTTTTACACCTTTATCTGAGAGGAATCTAAGATGGAATCTCTCACGGCTGTTACTATCGATACCCAGGGCTGAGGTTGGGTGTTCTGAGAATGATGAGTTGCTTGAAGCCTTTGTACCTGAGTGGTTGGTCTTCAGTGCCTGGAGAAGTAGGGCAGGTGTTGGGGGAAGGGGGGCCGGGGGAGGGGAAGGGGGGAGAAGTGAAGTGATAAGGGGTCGAGCCGGGGGGGGTGGGCGGATAGGGGGGAGGGGAGTGATAATGGGTTGGGATTGCGCTGCGGGGAGATTCGAGCGAGTCGCGCAATATTGCACCTGAAAGCGCCTGGGGAAGTAGGGTAGGCGTTTGGGGAGGGGTTGTTGGGGGGGGGGGCATTGGAGGGGGAGAGGAGTGATAGGGGTCGAGCGGCGGGTGGAGGGGAGGGGGGAGCGGAGTTTTGAGGGGTCGTGTTTGCGTGGCGGGGAAATCGAGCGAGTCGCGCAAAACCGTCCTTGAACCTGAGCCGAGAGATAGCCGGACAATGTTGCGCAACTCAGTGGCCGACTAAGGAACCTGAAAGGTTATCAGGAGCATAATCAGGTGAAGTCTCCTTATTGCACCGCAGATGCGCTCGTACAGGTTCTGTTCATGTGGTTTAGAGCAGGACGTTGTTTTTTTTGCTATTGATGTTTTGCATTCTATTTCCCCTTCTCAAAAATGTTCTATGATATCCTCCTTTCCGGACAGATCCTGGCTCGTATGTTTTCTTAGTAGACGAAGGAATCCGCGTGCATCCATCCATCACTCGATCGGAAACGTAGATTGCATCTAGAATCTCAGAATTCCAGTATGATTAACTCAGATTCGGTTTGGACCCTGAAGTGGGACGCCCACCGACATTGTCCGAGGAAAGGATTCGTCTAAAAACTTCCAACACCATATCTGTCCCACCTGGAAGCAGCCACTCCGACTAACTCCCTGAGATCTACCAGACTTAACAACTCGGCTGTTGTATCCACCTGATTCTTGTTCAGTTCGGGCAGCATTCATTGATAGACAGATTCTGTGTTTTTTCAGATCGCTCATCCGTGCGCCGTAGTCTGACCAAACCCCAGAAATCTCCTACCTAGCGCATATACAGTACGAGGAGCAAAAGGAGGAGGTGGGGAATAAGAGACTATGAGAGGTGGGGATCGATAAGTGTCAAATGTTGTAGCCTGTAGTGAGGTTTGTCTTAGGGGGTACAAAAGTTAGGGTTTGTTATATGTACCCCAACCAACATCAATGGCATCATCATTCCTCATTTTGACATGGTATCAGCTAGGTTAGGATCCTGTGGGATCCCGTTCCTCCGTTCTCCGTTCGTCCCTCCCGAGCCTGATCCTACCTCTCGTTCGTACCGGTTCCGTTGTTACCGCGCCTAGTACCGAGCCTAGCGCCCTCTCCCCCGTCGCTTAGCGCCCTTTCTCCCCGTCGCCTAGCGCCCTTCCCCCCCCCCCCCCCCCCCCCCCCCCGTCGCGTCGCGCCCTTTCCCCCCGTCGCCTAGCGCTCTTTCCCCCCGTCGCGTCGCGTCCGTTCCCCCCGTCACGTCGTGCCCGCCCTTTCCCCCCCGTTCCGTCGCCCTGTCCCGTCGCGTCGCCCTGCCCCGTCTTGTCGCCCTACCCTACGCCCTGGCTCGTCGCCCTACCCTACGCCCTGGCTCGTCGCCCTACCCTACGCCCTGGCCCGTCGCCCTACCCTACGCCCTGGCCCGTCGCCCTACCCTACGCCCTGGCCCGTCGCCCTACCCTACGCCCTAGCCCGTCGCCCTACCCTACGCCCTGGCTCGTCGCCCTAGCCCGCTCTTCCGCTGCGACTGAGTCCCCTTCCCACCTGAACCCTAATTTGCCTCTTCTCCCCGGTTGTTACTCGCCTGTTCGTTCGCGTTAGTTCTCACTATGGCGACTCCGCAAGTTCTTTGTTTCGACGCTGACGGTAGACCACTTGACTTTTCCGTCTGGCTTCTTCGCGCTCGCCGTCTGTTAGAGAGTCAGGTCCAGGGGGGCGAGACCCTCTGGTCGCACGCTACTGGTGACCTCCCCGAGCCCCCCGAGCCTACAGCTTTAGGCTCTGCCCCTGACGACGCTGCTACGGCTCGCTTTGCCCGTCAGCGCGCTGACCGGACGGCTTGGACGTCGCGTGACGTTGCGGCCTGCATCGCACTCAGCAGCCTCCTCCCTGAGTCAGAGGAGGTCCACTTTACTCAGGTTCGCACCGCTGCTGCGTACCTCACTGCGATTAAGGCCCGCTACTCTACTCCCGCTACTGTCTCTCTTGGCCGTCTTTTCCTCCCGTTCCTGTTTCCTGATCTCGCCTCGTTTGAGCGCTCTGCTGACTTGATCGCTCACCTCCGCTCGCTCGACGCTAGTTACCGCGCTGCTTGCACTGAGGCACAGCTTGCACTGCTTCCTCCCCCCATGGCGATTACTGTCTATTTCATCGCCACTAGCCTCCCTGACCGCCTAGCCTCCGTTCTTGACGCGCTTCTGCTGAAGCACCCTAGTGAGCTGACTATCGAGGTCCTTGAGTCTGCACTCAAGGACGTCGAGAGCAACCTTCGCTCGGTAGCTGCCGCCTCTGGTACTGTGTCCCCCCCACTCTTCCACGGGTGCACAGTCCCGCAGTTACCCACCTTCACTGCCTCTCTCGCCACTGCCGCTACTGACGCGACTGCGGCTGCTGTTACGACTGCGTCGCGGTCCCGCGGCAAGGGGGGCAAGAAAGGTAGTTCTGGTGGAGGTGGAGGTGGAGGTAGCGGAGGTAGTGGGGGTGCTGTTGCGACTGGCGGTGGTGGGAGTGCAGCGTCTGGAGAGACCCCTCGTGCAGCGGCTGGTGACTCCACTGCGCCTGCTGGTGGCGGCGACCCCCGAGCTCGTCAGTCGCTTCCTGTACTGCCGACCCCGCTAGGTGGAGCAGCGGCGTGGTACCAGGCTCAGCGTCAGCAGCACCTTCAGCAGCAGCAGCAGCCCCTTTCCTCCCGCCAGCCTCAGCAGCAGCTGCGTCAGCAGTTGGCTCCGGGGTCGGGGCTGCGTCGGCCCCAGCGCGGTGCTTCTTACCCTCCCTGCACCTATCAGGTTCTGACAGGTCCTCGTCGGGGCCACCCTTGTGGCCGCTTTCACCCCCCTGGTCAGTGCTTTGCTCAGCTCACTGACACGGTCCGGTTGGCCTACGGGGTTGGCGGTCCTGCTCTTGACTGGCTTCCTCTGGTTCAGCGCTACGGCTCCGCTCTGTGGGGCATGTCTGCTGAGCAGTTAGTTGATCTGATTGGTGCTCCTCATGCTATGTATGCTGTTGTTGACACTAGTGTTTCTGACTCTGTTTACTCTGGTGTTGTTAGCTTAGGTGCTAGTCTTGCTCAGTTGCCTGTTGCTAGTGTAGGTTCTTGTGTAGACTCTAGACCAGCGACTACCTCAGAGGACGCTTCACTGTCGTTCACGCTGGACTCTGGAGCCTCACACTGCTTCTTCCGGGACAGCACGACACTTACACCACTTCCTGCGCCTGTTTCTGTGGCTTTGGCTGATCCCACTACGGGACCAGTCACTGCACGTCACACTACCACTTTACCGTGTCCTGCTGCTCCCTCCGGGTCCTGCTGCTCCCTCCGGGTCTCTCACTGGGTTTCACGTCCCCTCGTTCTCCCGGAACTTGGTGGGCGTGCGACCCCTCGTGAGTCAGCACGTGGGTGTGTGGTTTGAGCCTTCTGGAGAGACTGCGGTGTGTGTTGACAGAGACTCTTACCAGCCTCTTGCTACCTTTACTGCTGAGCCGGGCTCAGGTCTCTACACTCATCACACTGGCCCGCGTGCGCCGCAGCAGCAGCCGCAGCAGCAGCAGCAGCCGCAGCCGCAGCAGCAGCAGCAGCTGCACCAGCGGTCGCACCAGCAGCCGCCCCTACTGCCACTGCCCCCGGTTCCCCCCCCCCGTTCGGGTCCCCGCGTCTCACCAGGTTGCTTCGTCCCCCCAGGTGTCTGTGTCGTGTCAGGTTCCTACGTCTGCTCCAGTCGCTGCGTCGTGCTCCTGCCGGTCGCTTGCCCACCCCACCGTTCTGTGGCACCACCGGATGGGGCACCCGTCCCTTCCTCGTCTGCGCGCTATGTCAAGTCAGCGTCTTGTCCTAGGCCTCCCACGTGTCTTGCCGTCGCTGCCGCCTTCGCTTGCGCCGCCGTGTGGTCCCTGCGTCGAGGGTCGGCTGCGCGCCGCCCCTCACTCCTCCTCCCTTCGTCCGGCCACCGAGCCTTTTGAGACGCTTCACTTGGACGTCTGGGGCCCCGCCCCTCGTCTAGGCCCTGAGCGTGAGCGTTACTTTCTGGTGGTCGTTGACGACTTCTCCCGCTACACCACAGTGTTCCCTCTGGCGAAGAAGTCTGAGGTGACTTCTACGCTGATCAGGTGGTTGCTCACCACCGAGGACACTCGTGGCCGTCGTGTCAGCTGCCTCCACTCCGACCGTGGGGGTGAGTTTCGCTCCGGCATTCTCGCTGGATTCTGTCGCGAGCAGGGCATTCGTCAGTCCTGGACGCTTCCAGAGTCCCCACAGCAGAATGGGGTTGCTGAGCGCCGCATAGGCCTGGTCATGGAGATCGCCCGCACCAGCTGAACCTCTGGCCACGTGTCTCTCGACCAGAGGTTTCACCGACCAGTCTTTGGACAGGGTCCCCTGGTGTTGCGTCGCGGTTTCGTGTCTGGGGGTGCTTGGCTCTTGTCCGCGACACCTCCGCGGACAAGCTCTCGCCTCGTGCCGTCCCCTGTGTCTTCCTTGGTTTCCCTGAGGACTCCTCTGACTTCACCTTTTACCACCCTCCCTCTCACCGGTTCTTTGACTCCCGTGACGTCCGTTTCGAGGAGTCCACTCCGTACTACGTCAGGTACCCCAGTCGAGGTCTCCAGGTTCCTCCTCCCCCCCTCTTCCTGACTGCCGCTCCCCCTCCTGTTCCCCCAATACAGCCTCCCCCCCCTGGTCCAGCCCCGTCGGGTGTGTCCCAGGCTACCCCTCCTCCTTCGGTAGCCTCTCCGGTACAGCCTCCCTCCCCACAGTCCTCCTCGCAGCGTGCCGCAGGTGCTAGCTCTCGAGAGGTTGGTGCTGCGCCTGTTCCTGTACCGGTTTCTGGTTCTGGGGGTGGTGGAGTTGGAGCTGGAGTTGGAGCTGGAGTTGGCACTGGAGTTGGAGCTGGAGTTTCTGGTTCTGGAGTTGGAGCTGACCCGGTGGGTGCAGAGGACTCTTGTCGTCCGGGAGCTGGTGCTGGTCGCGCGGACACTGGGGGTGAGAGTGCGCCTCCTTCGGGTTTTGGCGAGCCTGGGTCTGGAGCTGGTGTTAGTGCTGCCTCTGGGGGTGGTGCGCCTGCGGAGATTCACTCTACAACGGCAGTGAGCTAGACTACAGGGTTGGCACGAACTACTAGAGGTGATCTCAGCTTTGCTTGGTTCCTTCGTGCTTGCACATTCACAGGAGAAATTGGCAAGAGTTTTCACTAGCAAAGTTGGAATTACAGAATTGAAATCAAAGAAGCAATGACAACGATGACTACATCAGGCACCTAGCAACCCTGCAGCTAGCCTGGTCGACTGCCAGCGCAGCTCGGTCGACCGCCTGCCAGCATTGCGTAGAGGAGCCGCGCCAGCACTGCAGAAGGGCGACCTGCCAACAAAGCAGGTCGACGGCGTGCCCCGTAGAACACAGCAGTGCGCGCGCTCGCAGGTGTGCGCAGACGATTGGTCCAACTTGCCTCGTTGGGCATCCGTCGGCTGTTGTCTGCGCCTGACGAGCCACATCGACTTCGGGATACCAGCCCGAAGTCGCCTGCGCCATCGCGATCTCGACGGCATTCGCGTGCCTCCGCAGAACTCGTCGAGCAGGTTACCCAGTCGACCTGGTCGACCCCTGGTGCTCTGGTCGACTCCCAGGTGCCTCCCGTCGACCACTGGGTCTCTCTGGTCGACCACCGGATGCTCCTGGTCGACCACACCTCCCGTCAAGCTACCCCTTGGTCGACGGACCCCTTCCGTCGACCAGAACTGCTCCGTCGACCTCCCGGTCGAACTGCAGTTCGACGGGATGCTCCGTAGACCTCCCCGTCGAACTGTAGGTCGACGGACTGCTTCGTCGACCTCCCGGACGGCTCACCCGTCGCCCAGGCCAGTCAGTTGCAGCTGTCGAGCATCCTGGTCGACAGCAACACCACAGCGGTCTGCTGCCGCTCGACGTAACCTGTCGAGCAGCTATCCCATTGTGAACAGTCGGCTGCTACTCCCGTGCATCCGACCAAGTCGTCGGCGTTGCCCAAGCGAGGGCGGGGCCAACACTCCATTCCCGTTAACACTCCCCTGCCGCGCTCACGCTTGGGCCTCCAGCCCACACGGCAGTACTCCACGCAGAAAGCTCGTCCTCGGCGTGCACCCCATACGCAGCACGCCGTCACCGCACCAGCCGTGCAGAAGGGCACGGCACCTACTGCTGCACCTCGTCATCGCCGTCGCCGACGTCCACCAGGCGAACTTGGCCGATGGCGACAGAGCACCGGTTGAAAGCCGGAAAATGCAGCGCCTTCGTCAGGAAATCCGCCGGCTGCTCGGTGGTAGGGATGTAGTTCAGCACAAATTTCCCGCGCCTCACCATGTGCTGCAGCCAGGCGTAGCGTCGCTCCATGTGCTTGAGGTTGCCCGTCAGCCCCAAGCCCTCAGCGACCGTGATTGCCGACTTGTTGTCGACGCGGAGGATGGTCGGCTTCCCAGCGTCGAGCAGCTTGAATTCCGCAAGGAGGAAGCGAAGTCGACGCCCTTCCTTGCCGGCATCCGTGGCCGCCACGTACTCCGACTCGGTCGATGATAATGTCGCGCACTTGATGCGCGAGCTCGACCAGGAGACGGCGGCCCCTCCGTAGACGAACACGTAGCCTCCCGTGCTCGTCCGGTTCTGCTTGTCGCCCGCGTCGTCGGCGTCAACGTAGTCGATCAGCTCCAACGATTCTGGTCCACCGCCGAACTCCAGGGCGGTGTCGCGGGTGTCGGCGAGGAAGGCGAGGCAACGGTCGACCTCACGCCAATGCTGGTCGCTCCTCACCGTGAGGCCGCTCCCCAGCTTGCTGTAGGCGAACGCAATGTCCGGCCTCGTCGTCGTTGCCGCGAACTGCAGCGAGCCGACCTTCTGGCGGTACTCCTCCTCTTCGCGCTCCTGAGCCTCCTCGTCGTCGAACGTCAGATGAACGTATGCGTCGACCGAGACCGGCGTCTTCGGGACTCGACCGCCTAGCTCCTCGTCGACGAAGCGCCTGCGCAGCTTGTCGGCGTAGCCCTGCTGGTGCAGCCACAACTTCCTGGCCGGCCTGTCGCGCACGATCTCCAGCCCAAGGTACTTTTCTACCGGCGAGATCTCACGCAGCTCGAAGGCGGCCTCCAGCAGCTCCTTCAGCTCCTTCAGCATCGCGGTGCTGCTGCTAGCGGCGAGCAGGTCGTCGACGTAGACCAAGACCCAGCAGGTCACACCGTCGTCGCCGGTCTTGAAGTAGAGCGCCTCGTCGACCTGGCTCTTCTTCCAGCCAGCGCCCAGCAGCACACCGTCAAGAGCCCTGTACCACAGCAGCGGCGACTGCTTCAGCCCGTAGAGGCTTTTCAGCAGCTTACACACCCGGCCGGTCCCGTCGTCGAAGTAGTCCGGCTGGTACATGTAGAGCACTCTGTCGAGCTTGCTCTGCAGGAAAGCGTTCTTCATGTCAAGCTGCATCAGGTTGAGGTCGAGGACGGCGACTATGCTGAGGAAGATCCTCAGCGTGACGTAGCTGCTCACCGGCGAGTACGTCTCGTCGTAGTCGGCGCCGTACACCTGCGTGAAGCCCTTTACGACCAGCCTCGCCTTCTCGCGCTCGACGGTGTCGTCGATGCGGTACTTGGTCGTCAGCACCCATCGGTTCTTCATAATGTTCACCCCGCGTGGGCGTTCGACCAGCTCCCAAGTCCCCATAGCGATGAGGCTACGGATTTCTTCTTCCATGGCGGCCTTCACCGCCTCGCCCTTCTAGCTCGACAGCGCCTCCTTCACCGTCATCGTGGCGATGTCCCAGCGGTGTTCGGGGTCGGCATGCACGTCGGGGTCGAGCTCCGACAGGTCTTCATCCTCCTCGGCATCGTCGTACAGCAGGTCGTCGTCGACCTCGTCGTACACCGTGGTGAAGGCAGCTGGCGGTAAGCAGGCGTGAAAGCTCAACCGCTCCGGCGGCCGTCGAGCTCGACCTGAGCGTCGCAGCTCAGGCTTCGTGATCGGTACTTCCATCACGTCGCTGTCGGTGGACTCCTCACCCGCCGATAGCTCCCCTTTCGTTTCAAGTAGAACGTCGTCGACCAGCTGCTTCGACCCTTCGACCGGCTGTTCCTCTGCTGCTACCTTCGACAATTCTCCTGTCGACCGCTCCGGCTGCCGCTCCCCTATCGAGTGTACCCCTGCCGATGGCTCCTCTTCGACCGGCTCCCCTGTCTTCGACGGCTTTCCATCGTAGTCGTCGAGCTTGGCGCCTTGTCGTCCGCCGGCGATGCCACTGGCCGGCGCTACAGGCGACGCCTCCAGGCTCCCCTCATCGTCGGTGGCCGACACAGGTGTCGGTGCAGGCAGATCGGCGACGGGAGACGGAGGGGCAAGAGCAGGGGGAGGTGGAAGGACCGCCACAGCATCTTCATCAGCAGGCTCGTCGACTTCGGCGAGCAGGGGAACCGTCGTCGTCGAGGTGTCCGTCGGCGGGTGCGCCTGCGTCCGCTCCGACGCCGGCCCATACTTCGCCTTCCACACCTCCAGCGACAGCGTCTCATAGAAGATCACCTCGACCGACGTGACCATCTTGTTGTCGGTCAGGTCGAGCACCTCCCAGCCCTTGCTCGCTGGCGACACGCCCAGGTGAAGTCCCCAGCGAGCCTTCGGCGCCAGCTTTCCACCTCGTTGCTTCTCAGGAACCATGAACTGCACCATGCAGCCCCATACCCGCGCCAGCGTAAGGTCGGGCCTCTGTCCGGTCAGCAGCTGGTACGGAGTCGTCCCCGGCGGAGTCGTCGACCGCTCCAAGCAGTTGCGCACCCAGACAGCTTGTCGTAGAGCCAGGTGCCACCAATGGTGCTTCACGCCCATGTGCAGCAACATCGTCCGCACGGACTCGACGGCCGTACGCATCTCCCGCTCGGCCATGCCATTCTGCTGCGGAGTGTAGGGGCACGTCAGGTCGTGGACGATGCCCTTCCCGTCGACGAAATCGGTGAACGCCTTCCCGAGGAATTCCCCCCCTCGATCGGAGCGAAGCGACAGAACCGACTTCTTCGTCTGTCGTTCCACAAGCACCAGCCAGTTCTCGAACTCCCGCAGCACGTCGCTCTTCTTAGCGACCGGCATCGCCCATACAAATCGAGTATGGCGATCCTTCAGCAGCAGGAAGTACAAGCTGCCGTCCTTGGCAGCCACCCGAAATGGCCCGCACAAGTCAATGTGCACGACAGCCAGCGCCTCCGCTGCATCCGAGCCCTTGGCGGGGAAGGTGTGCCGCGCCAGCTTTCCTCCGACGCACGAGACACATGGCGGGTCTGCTCCGGTTGACAACGTGATGTCGAGCCCAGTAGCCACATCAT